GAAGGACACAAACCGATGACATGAGGTAGAGATCACATTTTGAGAAACAATGATTTAAGGAATTTCTGTGACATGACAATCCTTAAAAACTGTCAATTATTATAGCGCCTACTTCCTAAACAACTACATTCATTGCCTAATTTAATTATACAACTTTATCCTTGTGAACTTACTGCTCTTAACCTTTTACCTACTTGTATATCAGGAATAGAAGCAGCCTCCTCAGAAAATGTCTTCCGTTCTGCACGTGGGCTAGGATGTTTATCAGTACCAGCAGTAGGGAACCGAAATGAGAATTTGCGCTTGCCAGGAGTACCAGGCGTGTGTGGGCTCTCTGGTGGGGTTCCATTGTCCAAATTATTCCTTGAACGTGCTGCCAGCTCATTAGCCATTGCAATTGCACCCTCTAAAGTTCGCTCATCTACAGCAGAAATTGGTTTCACCTATAATGAAAGACATTTATTATGTTACAGCTGTATTTGATTATGATGCTTCATAAACCCTTCCACATTATGTATAGTCTGCACAAAGTTACAAAATTAAGGCATAGTCTCTCTGAATAATGAGTGGAGTTGATTTTTTTTGTTACTTCCACCTCAGGGTCACAGTTTGCCCACACCTATTCTAAATGTCTTCATGCAAGTACAAATCATGATCTTTGGTCACAAACATGATGTGAAGACAACTTCCAAACACCCAAGAACAGATCAGAGCATAAAACTTGTAAATATGCCAAATGTTGAATTGGTGACTGGTTGATTCAAATCACTCTCCTCTCTTTGGCCAGTTCTTGACAAACTGCATTACACCAACATGTATTAACACATATGCACATATACACATACAGACAGTCCACATCACATCACAACTGCTGATGACAAGGATACAGTGTCAAATATGTCAGATTTCACAATGAAGATCAGAGCCATATTAAATAATATGACTTCCGCGCAAATCTGGAAATGAAGGAATTGCTTCATGCAGATTTGATAAATGAAAGAGATCAGCTTACTGTAGCCTGCTTCTTTTTCCCAGTGACTTTTTCTGCCATCTCACGTAGCTCGTTACGAACATTGATAGTCTCATCAAGAGGTGAGGCTGGTGAAGGCGGAAGTCCTGGAGAAGGTGGTGGTGGAAATGGGGGTTCTCCAAAAGATCTAAACACTGCATCCATTTCATCTAGTAAACTTGGACCAAAGTCAAATGATTTCTGTGAACAAAATACCAAGATATAAGAAATTAAAGACCCCTAAGAGAAGGTGTCAAAATCAATCTGAAGAGATATCACAATCAAGTTACCATGATCCACTGAACATACTCTGAATGAGGATATCTAATTTGTGTCTTCTAACTATAGCTATAGATGCTTACTCAAATTTCAGTGCAAGATCAATGATGTTTATGGAAAAAAGATACATATTCTCTGGGTAGAAATTGCAAACTAGTACACATATTCTATGTCCTTAGATTTAAAAGGATCCATGTCAGTTCTCTTCTACTTGTACCTTCATACTCCAAGAACAGTTTGCTCATTTGTTATTATTCATAAATACACATTTTTACTTTATCCTCTAAATCTAAGTATCAGAAATACATTATTTACATCACTGACACCACTTATTTGATTCTGATTATTTAAAACTTCAGAAAACAGACAATAATATATGATAGAAAATTAAATCGCGCAAGGTAACTTACTTCAAACCGAGGACTTTCAGCAGTTCCCTCCTCATCACTTATCTCATGGTATTCATGATCGAGCAGAAACTTGGGTCCTCCAACTCTGCTACTTCCTCCTGTTGCTGTCTGTGACAAACTCGTCTCACTGGCAGTGTCAGACCATGCTGCAGCTGAAGTTAAAATACCAATTTCATTATGTCAAAATAAAAGTTAATTCCATGTAAAGATGCTTAACATTTTAACATTTTAATTGTACATGCTCATTTTAATTCAGAAGAAATGCTTTTATTTTAAATGTACTGCTAATTTTGGCTCTAACTAAAATGAAAATTTTATGAATTAGATTACCAATAATGGCAACTTACCAACAGGCAGTGGGAGCTTGGTGGGTTCTGTTCCCATGAGAAGTGGTGCACGATCAGAAGAAGCATCTGAAACAGATTTTCCGAGCGCAAGATGTTCAGAGTCATCCTGTGGCTTGTATGGTGTCACAACTTGACGAGGTAGATGATGATACTGTAACAATTTCAAGTTTAAACAATACAGAATATCCAAATACAAGTAAACTGGGTACAACTCCGCTTACAATGCTAGTTTGTTACATTAGAAAATCCCACATCTGTATCTGTAACCTTCAATGCATGTGTTGTGTTTTAGATTTCTACATGAACACTTGCCTTACTATAGTGGTGGTGGCTAAGAGGGACATGGATCTTAAACTGTGTTGGATTTGGTGTTTCCGTACATGCGTTCCTCACCAGAGGTAGGAAGAGATGGAGGGTTTACTGTATAGAAATGCTACTTGAAAGCATGATTAGACATGCTTGGCTCTCCTGACATGCAATAATACTCTATGATGCACAAGCAGAAACACAGAAGAACAAATCAATTGAAGGGTACAAGCTTGGCTTTCAGATGTCACTACAGCTCAGCAAATGACCATGCTGGAATGAAACAGTCTGTACAGTAAATTCAACATCCACTATTCTCATCTGTACTGATGAGCACAGATGCAGATAAGCATACCTTGCCTCCAAGGAAAGAAATATCCCCAAAGTAAGCACCATCTAATCCAACATGGCTTGTGTGTTTGAAATCTCCCTGTGGAGATGAAATCATGTCAGGACGCAAACGACGACGAGAAGAATATGCATTTTTTCCATCTGAAAATAAATACATAAAATATGAACTCTGAGGTTTCTACAGCAATGACAGTTTAGGTTTGTCCTACAGAATCAATCTGCTAACCAGCACTCCTACATAGGTGTACTACAGCATCTACAAGAGGCTGTCATGCTCAAACTGTAGGAAAATGGTATGATGGTGACTGGTTGCTCCATTATCACAATGCCCCCCCCCCCCCTTCCCCAAAAAATCTCCAGTTCTGGCTTCCAGTAATTTCTTTCTGTTCCAAGAATATACCTGAAACTCAAAAAAGCAAAAGAGATTTGTTGACATTTTGAAAATTCAACAAAAATCTGAACACTCGCTACAAGACATTCTGAAAAAACGGTTTCAAAGTGCTTCCAGCAATGATAGAACTACAAGGACAAGATTCATTACCTCACACAATAATTAATTTTCCTCTACAACTTTTGTTCAAAACTCTCTCTCTCCCCCCCTTTTTTACTATCTGGGAACTTTTTATAGAACCTCATACACAGAAGATGAAGTGAACAGAAAAGAATGAACTCCATTATGACTCTTACAGCATTATGCCATATCATGATACTAATGATGACAGTACACAGCCACATGACTCCAGCTTCTCTGTTTATACCTACCGCCTCTGATGAACTCAGTCTTATTTGATGGTAAATTGGAACCCAAGTATGCAACTGTGTATGCAGGATTGAACAGCCCAGTCTTCCCATTGTTCAGAACACCTTTCCACAAGCTGTTCACATTTTGGAATGGTCTGACAAAAAACAAACATATGATTAGGAACAAAAACAGGATGTTATACTAATTCAAGAAACAAGTCTTGCACTCTGGTCAGTCACAATCACTGTTAAGTGAATGTTTACCCTTTGTCAAGCACGGTGATCACATCCCCAACTCTGTAAACCAACTGCTCACGCTGCTTTACTTTTAGTGGGTCATCTCCATATTCTTGAACTGCTTGCACTTGCTCTGGTTTGCACTACAAAAAGAAAATATTTCCATGAGGAAATACACATTGCAAGCACACAATACATAACATCAGCCATGCAGTTCATTAGTGATAGCTGCATTTTTTTTCACATATGAAGATCCTAGTTGTCTGGCACTCAAATGTGATAATCACTGGGGGAAAGGAAGTTTCTTGACAAAAAATAAACCTGAAATTAACATTACTTTTACAAGAAAAGAACAAGAAAGGTCAATATAATAAAAAATTAACACACCTTTGGAAACATTCTGTAAAGGATTTTTCATATTTATATGTAAATGTCCATGCACTTGACTTCAAGAGTTCAAATCCTTTCTAAAATACCTGAGACAGCATGGAACAATGTTTATTCTGCAAAATTTAGTTAAAAAACTAAGGCCTGGATACAAACCAATAACATTTATGTCAAAATTAAGAACCTGGTTTTAAATTTACATAGTGAACTGTCATTTTTAACTAATAAGTTTTAATAACTCCTTAAATTAAATTCTGGGTATGCTGCTATATCCAAAAAATTACACCTGCTTTACAACAAAACACTATTTTCTGTAAAAAGTTGATTTTAATTCTTTGCCACATAGATATAATACAAATTACATGCAATTCAATATAGTGATAACAGCCGAGAGAGTTCCTGCAGTTACAGTACAATTTACAACCCCTTATACAAAATACTGAACCTTCAGGGGGTAGGGGAATGACACATCTGATGAAATCCCGGACAGATTATTTAAACAAGTAATTCATATTGAGAGTCCCACTGCAGTGTAGGAATATGGTTAACTGACCTGAAATGAGATAATCAGCTTACCTCTGGTAATATGTTGATGAGATCTGCAAACCTTGGGCGCTTGTTAGGATCATGCTGCCAACATTTCAGCATGAGAGTAAAATATTCTTTTGGGCAGCATTCTGGTTGTTCTAGCCTCTGTAATGTACAATAAGCAAAACTTGACTATTTAAGATTTTAAGTTTTCACAGCAGTGAGGATAATGTCGATGATGTGGGTTTTTACACCATGTAGAATTGTAGGTTAATGCCAACATTTTGGAGAAACATATTGTCTCCACCTTCAGCACTAAAGATGAACACAGTATGTTTCTCTACTCTATGTATGTTGGCATCTAACTACACAGATTCTCATAACAGATTTGTTCATCACTAGTGTGTGATGCTATGTCAGTTACAATGTTGCCTACTGAAGACTGAAAGATTCTATACACTGTAAAACATCAATCCAAAATAAATAACTGTATGAATTAAATTTAATAAAATGTACTATTTAACATTTAATCTAGTATCAATACAATGGGCTCTGCTATATTGAATTATTAACATTAAATATTTAAAGGGCAGATACCTATACCAGATTAGCAATCACCTGGTGACTGGCTATGTAGTTTGTCCCACTGTATAACTGTCACCTTTCCTTTCTCCAGCTATTCTCACCCCTTACCAGATCCTTCAGGGTTTCAGATACCAGGCCCAAGCAGTACATAAATGTTGATGGCCAATCAACTGAAGTGGAAAGTCACTGCTACCACAGTGCAGAATTTGATGCTTTAAACAAAACAACAGAAGAATCATTTTGAAATTACCTGGAAGTTAGGTTCATCAATAGCTTCTAAAATCTGATGTCCAGTGAGTGCAGCCCATGGTTGGAACCCATAACTAAACATCTCCCAAAGTGTCACTCCATATGCCCAAACATCTGATGCTGATGTGAAGCGCAGGTAACTTATACACTCAGGTGCACACCTATACATAGATGTCAACCCATAAAAACAGCAATGGAAAATGACATAATAAGAATAATTATTCTTACATTAAGCAGTTCTTCATGACTTACACAGATGTAAAATCATGAAGGGTGTTGAATAAGCAGCTTCCAAGGGTATACTACACTTGTATTTATTACTTCTACATGGTTGACTAAAATAAAAAGGAATAATATACTGACCCCCTACTTATTCATGTAATTGTCACACCTACTGACACCCTGTGATCCACCACCTGTTCAGTTACTGTACTGAATATATCAGGTCTGTGTCTGAACCCAATGGCCTCACTTTTCTCCCTATCATTACACTAAAGCAGACCTACTTTCCTTACATGCACTTCTTCAGTGGTCCAAAGAGGTATAAGTCTCTAGGTGCACGGACTGGCTGCATGGAGAATAAGCAAGATATTTCAAGCAAAACTGTTCCAGAAATGGCCTTATGAAAATGGCCCTTTGCAGTGAGTACTGTTTTGAAAAAGGATCACTTTCTCTGTTCACAAGCCAGGGTGTTTCCTCTGGATGTCTTCCTTTTGTTTCAGCAGTACTGGGTACTATTAGTCTCCCTCACAGATGCGATGTGGTCCAAGGAGGAAAATTCCTTATGCATCATAAACTGCTGTCAACATCCCTACATAGTGAAAGGCTTGAACATCCTTTTCATGGAAATGTGTTGTACTTCCATTCTATTCATGTTACCTTTAATGTCTGAGTGAAGTGATGATCCCACATTTCATCACTGGTGATGATGCAAACAGGGAATTTTGGGCTGGAGGAAGGTGACATGAAAACAAGGTGAAATGTGGGGCCAGCTGGTAAAACACTAAGATCCAATTTCATCCCAACAAAAACTAAATATGTGTATCTCAAGGGTAAATGTCTAAGTCTTTCTGATGATTACATGCATAAACAGGAAGTCAGTTCAGTATTCCTATTCGCTGTATAAATGAGCTACTCACCAAGCTATGGGAAGCTTCAGATTAACATTGAAATTGGTCTGATAATAATCTTTTCCCACTCCTAGAGCTCGTGACAGTCCAAAGTCAGAAATTTTAACTTTGTTCTTTGAAAAGACAAGAATGTTTCTTGCAGCTAGATCCCTAAAAAATAAGAAAATATATGTATATTTAACAGTACATAAATCCCTTATGGACCACGGTTCAGAAATTTAGCAGTACTGGACAAACAAAACAACCTTCTGAAAATTAACAAAATACATAAAATATCCAGGTTTATCCACTCAAAATAACAGTGAAAGAACTTTCAGTTTGATCAGTCAACTGGTTATGCATTAAACAGAAGAACAGTATATTAACCTGTGAATCAGTCTTTTCACCTCCAAATACAGCATACCATCACATATTTGGATGGCAAAATCACAAAGTGAGAGAATTGGAAAGCTGGTCCGGAGGGACGGTTCCTTCAAGCACTCCAAAAGTGAGCGGAGGGGAGCCAATTCAGTCACCTGAACAAAATATGAAATGTACACTGAACAGCATACATAACTAACACAATAAATGGCAGAACATACAACTGAAATAAATTTAAAAAAAACTAATATGGATAAATACACTGTAATCTCATTATTGATCTCTTCATAATAAAATTTTTCAATTTATATTAAATCACCATTACAAACGCCATGTAAAATTGTAAAAGAATCCCTATGGCTAAGGCATATCTTGAAGCAATGTAGCAGAGAATGGCAAATTTCATGTGTCCTCATCAGCCCCAGCAATCAGTATCCAAGAGGATGGATATGCTCCAGAGCCAGATTGAATCCCTGCACCTGCCAGGAATCAAACTCCAAGCAATGTTTGGACAGAGATAAGATACTGGATAAATAATAAATACCAGCCTCTAAGCCCTAGCACACTTCATAATGAAGCTACAACTGTCCATATTAAGCACATTCCTTGCAATTAGGACATAGCCTAACAATAAGTCACAGATAGCCAACATGATAGACCAAAACTACGTTCATGAAAAAGTTAAGAGCATATTAAATTTGGGGACTTTTTGCTACCATTCAGTAAAAAATCTTTTATTTTCTTGACTCCTTTCTAAAAAGGTAAGGATTAAATATTCAGAACCATTATTTTATCTTATGTTCTACATGGCTGTGAAACTTGATATCTCACATTAAGGAAAGAATGTAGACTAAATGAGTTTAAGAAAAAATGCCAAGAAGAATATTTGGGCCAAACGGTTAGGGAAGTAACACAAGAAAGGAGAAAACTGGATAATGAGCAGCTTCATACCAGCATGAGGGCATTTGTATCCAGAACTACTCCATACAGTCGTACAATATGTTCATGATCAATAGCATGCATGATCGCTGCCTCTTTCAGGAACTCAATCGGATTGTTCTGCATTCGCTCGCGGCTCAAACATTTGATAGCCACTTGGATCTGCATACAAAGAAAAGACATATTAATATTACTGCTCTGAAGTAGTGGCATTAAGAAAATTTGTTACAGTAAGACAGCATGCATGCTCTGGTCATAGCTATCTGACCTCCATGTTTATCTCACATGCACTTCCAATGCAAACTATAAACTAACCTTACCTTGTTATACAAAATTTAAACATGTACTGGCAGAACTAAAAGGTTCAACATAGCTAATAACAAAGCCAACCATTACACATAGTCTTAAGCTACTTCCATCCTCAAATCTCACAGCCCATCTCACTACATTCCTTCTTAATCCTATCCTCTTTTATGGTCTTGTTAGCAAGTATTTCCCAAGAGGATTCCCTGTGCATATTATTTGTTTCACACATCCTAGCCTCTTACATTCCACTATCATAAAGTTCTTCTTATGTAATACCCTAAATTGCTTACTTTCTTCATCCTTCTTAGGTCTAAATACTTGTTACATATCACAAAGTTTGTTACATACCCTCTCTCCATCATTTGTCCACACTCCCTGTTGCACAACTCCAAACTCCCCTGTTCCAAGCTCCTTGTTTACAATGATTGCTTCTGCTGGTATGATGTGTTTATTAGGTACTTTTATTGGAGGTTTGTCCATTAATTCATCTGGTAATGTGGGTAATGCAGCTACCTGCTCTTCCTTTCGAAGCAAGATCATCTAGAAAACATGTAACATTCACTAACTTATTCTGTGCAAAGCTTCAGTCTTCTGTAAACAGTTAATGGCATTTCCTGCACACAGATATATAAATTATACCACAAGAAACAGGTCACTAGAGTTTATAAGAAAAAAACAGGATGCACCAATTAGAAGTGAGGTTGACTTGTAGGAGAGGTTTAAAGCCTTAGATGCTATAAGCAAGAGAAGTTGCCTTTAAATCAAATTCTGTTTTGAAAAGTGGTGTGCTACTACCAATGAAAGGAAGCCTCTTATATTGTCTCTTCACAGTTAAATCCATAAACTTGGAGTTTTCAGACAATGAAAATTATAAATTTATATAAACACATCAGATTTAACTTCTTTCCCCTCATTCTAACCCAATCAATCTTTAGTCCTTGTGTAACACACAAGGTAATTCAAATCACTTTCAAAATAAATACATAACTTAATCACCATTAAGACCACAAAACAGTCAAGGAGTTCAGACATACCTTCACCTACTCTGTCCCCTCAGCTGTCCCATGTTCAAGTAAATCTGAACTTATAAATTATTAGAAAAACCTGTATATCAGCTTACTGTTAATATGAATCCATTTGTTTTAGGTAAACAAATATTTATGTTGATGAAGTTCAGTTTTAAACAAGTCTAATAAGAAACTAAACAGTCAACCTACCTTTTTAAACTTAGATAAATAATTCTGTGGGAAATGTTTTTGGAAGTACTTTTTTAACCTCCGCATTTCTGGCTTTGACATTCCAATGGTATGGAGGTCATCTTCAGTAACATACTTTAGCTGTGGTACATTCTGAACCTACAAAGAAATAAGAAACTAAAATTTAAAAAGGACAGCACACAGAAACAACATACAGGCATTTGAGAAGAGAATCTAGTAGTGCTAGTAACTAACCTATGGCAGCAGAACCCAAAGGTTTAACACCATTAAGATTACACTTTGTCATTAGACAATATATTAAGCTAGTTTCAACCACTTCCTACCATAACACATGAATGGTAACTTCAAATGCCTTTAACACTTGTCATACAAATCAAGTTCAATGTACCCTGATGCCATCAGACCAAGTAATTTAATCGCCCTGATGACGGAGGCAGTATGATCTCTGAAACGTTGGTAAACATCGACCAGACTACACAGCGTACCACCCCACAAGACAGAAATCTTCAAGTAATTTAAATCCATTATGATTTGTAGCAAGAGATGTTTAATTTTACTAGGTCTACTGTGTGAGGCATGGTAAAGAGCCAATAATGAAAATTATTATCTTGTCAGGCCAGTCCCTTGCCAAAATCACAATTATTTACCTTCAAGTCATTCTTAATTCCAGCATAATACTGTTGAAGTTCTGCTTCTATAAGAAATTCATATAGACCAGGTCCACGAACAGCAGACATATTTGCCTGTAACATAAATGCTAGTTGAATACATACCCTTTCCAGCACCTTCCTACTCTGACTAGTATGTTTATGTTGTGAATCTCAGAGGGTAAGGTTATTTCTCCTGCTTAGATCAAGACTTCTGGAATGTGATCAGAACCTGATGAACTCTTCCACAATTTTAACTCTATAAATGTCAGAATCGTATACTAATGGCTCAGCAGTATCTATGTATCTATGTGTATTTCAGTCTGTACAGCTTCATTAATGCTACGTACATTTCATAGTTGCTTGAAATAATTTTTCTGCATATGTATAGCTTCATTAATTCATTTAATAGTTGCTTAAAGTAACTTTTCAGCACATATAACATTATTCATTGATGCAGTATAGGATAACTCTTATGACAGCAGAAGGCTGTAATTTCTTCAAACTGTATTATGGTAACATAATAAGCATCTACAGGTTATGATAACTTTACTTATGCTAGTTTCTAACTAGCACAACAAAAGCTAGCCTAACCAAAAATAGAATGTTATCACAATAGTCAAATGTTGTACTTCAAAATATTTGGGCACCTGTAACTACATAAGTACTGTTCTGGTCACAAATATCATTGGCCACTATTGACCTTGCAATATTGCAGCTACCTTTCAAAATTAAAGTTTTAATTACACAAGAGCTGTGGAGAATTATAGAACTGTACACATGTTTAATTCCTGGCAGGGCAGATTTTTCTCTTCATCACACTGTCCACAATGGCCAGCCTCCCAACTGGCTCCCCAGTTTCTTTCCTTGAGGCTCAAACAGTGACGGCATAAAGCTAAACATTCACCTCCATTTAGTGATACAGTTAAAAGTGTGTGGGGATAGACCCGTCCTCCCCCATATACATGCTTAACTTGATGCTTAATTATGTGGCAAGCACAAATTCACCTTTACCATTAGCTTATTTGTAATGTTCTTGATATATTAAAAATTTAATCATACACTACATGCAAATAATGTCGGGATGGCTTAATTAAAACTGCGAAGAAAATTACACAAAGCCTCATCTGAAACTTGACAGCTAAAGCTTAAATTAATGTCACATTAGCATTTACACTTACACTTTACTTTACTTTCACAACAATAAGATAATTAATCTCTTTGGACTCGCTCCACTCCCACATTTGGCACAGCAGGGTGGAAAGCGCATATTTCTCAATCTGCTCTCCTTAAAAAGTAGGATAAACAATTCTATTAATACATTAATAAAACCAAGTGCATTACACAAAGAATTATCATTAAATGCATTTCTTAATTTTACCATAAACATCTAGCGTATAAATAAGGCCAAGTGTACGAAATAAACTGCACAGGAAAAATAATTTCCTGCAGCTAATTAAGACAGCCACTTATATAAACAAATAAAAGCCAGACCATTTCAGATACGGCAACCCACAGATTACACACAACAATCCGAAACATAGATTTGCGATTGAGGGTTGTAATGTATGGATTATCTGTGGTTGTAATCATGAAGTACATAGAATCACGGATGCCTCACAAAGACTATCATTAAGAACATTGCAGTCTGTCCTGCCATCTATCCACCATAGAACGGCGGCGATAATGATGGTTTCGGTGTCCTACTTCATAAGACGGTTAACTTACAGTCAATAAATTCTATGTACTTTCGTCCTTCCAATTCTAGTCGCTAACTTTTGAAACGCTGGTGTTGCATAGGAACTTAATCTTTCGCATAAAAGTGATTGAATGTAAAGCTGTTTAACTAGTCTTGCTTGTATCCATTAAATGGAGAAAATCTATCTAGCTTGGGCTTTCGGATGTGAGCAGTGTCAAATGTTATGCATTAACCAACGTTTCGCCGAATATTACAGTTACCACGTTCAAGGTACCAATGTAGTGGGGCGAGTTCTGGAAGCCTTATATGCAGCAGGCATTGGGTGGCGAGGCAAACTGTCTCCTAAAAGGGGAAATGTTCTCTTGAAGCTCAAACAACATGAGACAAGAAATTGTTGTCTTCTGGGTTGTTGTGCTATGTGGTCTGGTAGTTTACCGACGTTTCATAGATACTTACCGCCTTCATAATTAGCTCTATGATGGAGGCAGCAAGGACCTCTAACACATACATGGCACCACCCAGAAGACAGCCATCTTCAGACTCACCCCTGTGAAAACCTCAAATCCTACAACTTGAGATAACATTAATTTGGTTTACAGGAAAACAAGTTGTTAAAATGGGAGGTGGATGGAACAAGTTATGCATCATGTCCATTGTTGTTCAATTTCAGTGAGAAGCTTAAAGCAGTTGAAGTTTCTCAAACAATGTTGTTTGTAGATTAAAGGAAAGAATCATTCCTCCACTGTTTATTATAGCACACTGGAATAAAATGAGGATAGGAAATTTATATATGGAAAAAATAAATTC